TTTATACGCGTGTAGCCTTTTGTATGCCCCTGCATGCAAGTGGGTAAATTTATACTCCGGGCGCGGCTCCAAAACGCCTAACTCTGCGCAAGCAGCAGAGATTTTACCGTTACGTAAAATAAAAATGCAATTAAAAAAAAAAAAATTCTAAACCGAGGAGAAAAACAGGAGGGAGGTGTGAACGGGCAGCAACAATGGAGTAAACGCTAATATGAATGAGGCAGAGCAGAGTCACGATCGCCGCGTCACTCGTGAAACTGAATCACGAAATGGACCACACAGGTGCGATGTTCGCGCAATGCAGACTTCACATAACGAAATGCAAATTTTTTTTATTGGGCATATAGTAAAAAAAAATCTTCTAACTTGTGCCAAATTGAGGCGGATGGCATAGTTGTATCATGAACAGTTTTTTAAGTGGTTCCTATGCTAATCTGTAAATGTGAAATATTAGCGTTGCCTGTGTGGTCGCCTCTCGCTCCTTACACTGGTTCGCAATCTGAAACACTCGACTGGTTAGTTTAAGCTGTTTGTCGCTTTCCTACTGTGCTACTTCGCCACTTCAACACTGTTCGCCTTGTCCTTTGTTCTGTCTTTTCCAGCACTTGGGTACTAATTTTGGCCTGATTTTTAATTTAGGCCCCCCGCGCGTTAAAAAAAAAAAAAAACGGTTAACACAAAATAAAAATAAAACAAATGTATTTTCGTTATGAAGAAAAGCAAACAATTGTTATGTTTTAAAAAAAAAAAAAAAAAAAAAAAAAGTGTGGAAAATTTATGAATTACTAATTAATGTGAATTTTATATTTACGCATACATAAAATGAACTGTTAGACATTTATTGAAAAAAAAAATAAAAAAAAAAAAAATATAGTTTTACTTAATGTAATTATTTTAACAGTTGCAGTAAGTACACATTTGTGTATTTTAACAAAACTTGCAAAATGACGAATGGCCCCCATATTACAAATTAATGCATTTTATATTTTTTATCGTGACATTTTTTAGGGAGGGGAATTTCACAAAATTGTTGCAAAGGGGTTGTTTAAAACATGCATATGTATAAAATTGAAACAGGAGTTTTTTTTTTTTTTTTTTATTTTTTTGCGCAAGTGTGTTTTTACAAAATCATGCATTTGTTCTTAATTTTTTTTTCTTTTTTTTTTTTTTTTATATATTATTTTTTTGGGAGCAAAAAAATTTGGGCACTTTTATGCCTATGGGGGGTAATTTGTTTACTTGATTCTGAGTGAGAATTTTGCTATTTTGTTTTTTTTTTTTTTTTTTTTGCGTGACTTTTTTGGTTCCCTGTTTCGTTAAATGAAGTGATGCATTTGTAACCATTAGGCAGGTTAATCATTTAGGCGGTTAACCTGTTTTAGCATGTGTAAAGAGTAAAAAGATCTTGTTTTTTTACACCTAGGTCAGTCCTTCACATGTCACATTACACATGACACAGTCCTTTACAACCTGGACGTTAATTCGTGTAGCACAGTTTAATATACACACGAGAATAAACGAAATAGGCATGTCGCAGCGAAGGGAAAAAAAAGAAATAAAAAAAAAAAAAAAAGAAAATATGCGAACCAGAATAGTTCGAAGGTGCCACCCGCGTAGGGATAAATGGGCGTACGTAAGTGTAACATGCACAAATATACACCCGAATATCAACACATCCGTTTACGCCACTTGTATGTAGTTAAATTTATCCCTATTTTACACGCTCGCATTTTTTTTTTTTTTTTTTTAGTTAAACGCGCGAATAATGAACAAACGTGTGGCGCTGTATTTATGCAGATCGAAATAGTTGCAACTGTGCGAACAGATCTGTTCGGCTTTTTTCTCAAATTTTCCGCTTGCAACGGTTGACATAAAAAAACGGTAAAAAAAAAATAATTATTACAAAATAGGAATTTTAATTTGTCGTAGGATCACTGTTATTATGGGGAAAAAGTAAAATTAAAAAAAAAAAGTGTAAAAATGGTATTTCGCGGGGGGGCTGTAAATGCTTGTAGGTGAATTTGCGTTGTAAGTTTTTTTTGTTTTTGTATTTTATATTTTTTAATAACATTTCTGAACTACATTTTTTTAACTATATATTTTTTGCTCACATTTCTTTTTGGCACCTTCTTATTCATTTATTTTTACATTCACTTGAAGCATGCATGTGCGGAAAAAAGCAATTGCTTGCGACGTGCAATATTACAACTGTTCGCGGAACAATTTTCCCCACCACCACCACCACAGCGAGCATGTACTGTGTGTTCTGTCTTTACATGCAGCTAAATCACAACGGGTGTGGTGTACCCCTTGGAACAGTTTTACATTGTGCCTCGTTCTCCACAACACCTGTGCTAGCCTTGCAACCGTGTACGTTACTTTACAATATTTTTGCGCTACTTTTAATTTTTTTTTTTTTTTTTTTCCTTAATTTTTATTACCACCCCTTTAACTTCCCTTTTATCATATGCACACATTAAAAAAAAAAAAAAATTAATTTCATTTTTTTCATTCGCACAGTTCATATTTTCCTGGTCTACTAAATAAATGGGCAAAAGCATACGGGCGTAGCCCCCACTATACATGCATTGATATAGGTACGTACAAAAAACATACTTAGGGGTGATATGTACCTTCCTGTGTAGGCGTGCATGCGTATAATAATATGCCTAATCAGTATTGTGCTCATGCGTTCATTTGAGCAGGTGTTTCCGTTGTAACCGATTCGCACTCATAGAATTGTTTTCATCTCGCGCTTGGCACAAATTGTACATTTTGAACATATGGCACATTCCGTTCTCTTACACTGAGATGATGGCCACTTGCCGGTTACGCCAACGCCTGGTCGACATGTGTCATTCTATTTCTGTTGGTTTTTTTCCCTAGAACAGGAAAAGCAACCCCACCCACGCAGTAGTACATCTTCCGCCTCAAGGTTAACATAAGCATACATGTGTATTTATTTTTTTTCGCGCATTTTTTTCCTATCATCACGAAGGAGGAAGAAAACTATTATTTGTCGCGTGCACTGCTGTCCAGTATACACCTCCCAACAAATATCAAAGGCCCCCATAAAAAAAAGAAAAACAAAAAAATTGTTAGTTCCATTTTTACAACTTGCACTAAATATTTTTGTTTGTGCATGTGCACATGTTGCTACAAGTACAATGCTAATATATTTTTTTTTTTTTCAAAATTATTCTTTAAAAGATTAATTTACGCGTTTGGGCGGTTACTGATTGTTTAATGTACGGCTGTGGGCATATGCATATTTGGCACACGATAATATCAAATATTACGAGTCAACCGTTTTCGCGCCCACTGCGCACCATTAACAATATGCATGAAAAAAATTCCAATGCGTAGCATCTGTTATGATGAGTGGACAAAGGTACAAAAGTAGAAAAGAAGCTGAATGGGGGGCAAAGGAAGGACAAAACAAATTGCACAAAAGAGGGCGAAATACAGGGGAAGCAAAATGTGCGCAGGGAATTGCAAATAACCGCAATAAGGTCTTTCATAAAAACATTGTATTTTTTTTTTTTGCAAAAATGTATCAATTTTTGTGTATTCTACTTTGTGAATAAAAAATACATGCATAAGGTGTTTCTTCCCTTGAGTTGTCCCCTAACACAAATGTTAATATACATGTAGCACACTTTTTTTTTTATCTTCCTTCCGCACAATTTGCAAGTCTTGAGCTGTGTTCATTGTGTTCAACGACACAGAAGCTAAAAACAAGTTTAAATTGACAAAATGCGAAACGGCATACCGCGCATTTCAAGAACGGGATGAAACGTACAATTGACAATGCTGTCGTCAACATGAATAAACACGTGCAACCTAGGCGAGAAAAACGAATGCAAGAAAAATACCGCCGAAGGAAACGTGTTAGGCCCTATGTATGTTCTAAAACTGTATCGATCCGATCAGAACGTCTAAAGCGCATTCAATGTTCAATGTTAAATATTTTTCAGTAAGGACGAACGAAAAGGTGATAACGTTGGGGGGTCATGCGTGTAAATGCTTAATTCTACGGAAATGCATACTTTAAATTTCACGCGGGTTTCAGGAAGAAGAAAATGAGTAACGCTGAAAATTTCTCCTTAATTGTGATTAAAAAAAAATGGCAACATTTTAGCAAAATACGCAAGGGATGAAAAAAGCTTCCCATTTTTTTAATTGACCTATGAGAGCATTGATGAGGTGTGTACTTATTTACACGCACATGTATGTGTTAATCATTTTGTTCTATTTTCCTCTTAGTATCTTCCCATCTCACACATGATTTTTTCGCCTTTCATGTGCAAGCTACCCATTTCCAATTTGTTGCCCAAAAATTATATGAACACTTTTGGCTATTTTTTTTTTTTTTTTTTTTTTTTTCTAAATAGCCAAAAATGACATTTATCCAAATAAAAGTATGAACACGCAAGGTCAATTTTCAACATTATGTATCCCCATCACGGCTAGTTCTGAAACTGTGTATTTCTGCCACATCGGGCTAGTAAAGAAGGTGAGGATTGTCAAGTCCAGTTTTGTACGTATGGGTCACATTTGAATGCTTTTTTTGTTGTGCCCTAATTGGTGCAAAAACGGAAGATTAACTCTGGCGCAAATGTAGTCTTGTATGCCTAGTTACGCCTTCTGAGAAGGTAAAAAAAAAAAAAAATTCAATAAAACAAAACAAAACACAACGCAGCAAAACAAATGGAACAAAATAACAACAGTTACACTTTGCACTGGTAAATTTTTTTTTGTGTGACCTGATATTTTTCCCGTCCCTGTCCCCGCTTCTTTACTCCTTTGTAATTACGAAATGTTTCATCTGTAAGTTTGTCCTCTGTTTTTGTGGCATTATTACGCGTTCAGTAATTTTTTATGTTGTCATTTTTTTTTTTTTTTTGTGTGTGTTCCCTGCTCGTCGTTCTGGCTTCTGCGTTTGCCGCTTGTCTGGCGTCAGTTCATCTCGCTCACACCAGATCAAAAACTTCTCCTAAATGGAAGGAAGTAACCCCTGGAGAAAGTTGAACAGGAAAATTTGCAGAAATTACAGCATACATCCTGAAAATGTAATTTATTACGATTACTTCAACAATTTAAAAAGGAAGGCGGTGGCTCAGGGCTATACCAAATTGGTTATGTGTTTTAGAAAAATTATGAGTTCCATTTTGTACTACCCCTTACCAATTAAAAATAGCTTAGAGGCCTATAAATTGAAGGGGGTTGGTAAGCAATTTTCTTATTATTTTGAAAAGGCCCTGTCGAAAGGTGTTCAAGACAAGAAGCATAATAGTATGCAGAATGATTGCGTCACGCCAAATGAGAATTCCTCTCACATTTACACCCACATAAATAAAGTCATCACAAGTGTGGACCGTTTTTTGAAGGAACTGGACAGTGAAGTTTATAATTTGAAGATAATTGGCGAAGAGTCCGATGATAGCATTATGAGGAATATGAAGGAGATCAGAAATGATTACTCCAACAGTAATTATAACGAGGCGGAGGTGAAAGGGAGAAAGAGGAAAGGTGGAACGGATAAGAAAGGTAGCACCCATCTCGCTCTCCGTGTTGATGGGTCTAATCGATGTGATAGAGCCGACCAGGCTGATGCGTCCGATTGCGCTAGTCATGACTGGCGCCATGACAGCAAGCGAGGTGAGAACAGTTGTACCCCGGTCAACGAAATGAACATCACCCCACAGTTGACCAAACACGCTTACACATACAAGAACAGCGTTAACCTCAATGACTATACAGTCATTTCGACAGCCTCCATAAATTACGATAATTGCATGTTGGGCGATGAGGAAGCATCTGCCCCTCAAATGGAGCCCTGTAATGAGCACGAGCAGAAAAAGAGATTAAGTGACAATAATAAAGGCAGCAAGAAAATGAATGAAATCAAATTAAACGATTTCGAAAACAAAGTCATGACTTTTCTCGACAAGAATGAAAATTTATATGACAACTGTTCAGTCAGCATGGAAGAAATGACAATTGGGTTTTTAAAATATTATCGAGACTCTGAAAAAATATATTTTCACAAATTGCGTAGACTTATAAAAATGGAATTTTTGGAAAAGCTAGACATTTGGGAAAATAAGGCTAGTGGAGGGAGTGCTTCCAAAAAAAGGTGCGTCGTGGATGACGTGCCGGAAACACACAGCAGTTGTGGGACGTCGAATGCGCTGTCTTTCTCGAGCTTGTCCAGTGCGAAAGGGGGTAATATGAAAATCGTTAAGAAGGTGAGGTTGACGGTAAAGGGGAAGGAATTCCTTCGGAGTGGGGAGCAAGACGGGGAGCAGAACGGGCAGCATAACGGGAAAGAGGAGGAAGATAGGAGAGAGCAGAAAATTGAGGAATATTCTCCTCCACGCACGAGTAATCGCAAAACGAAAGAACCCGCCTCAGATGCATCAGAAGGAGAAAACAGATCTACTTCTAAGCAAGACAAAGGAAATAAGGTAGTAAGCGAATCAGACCGCAGAATAGAATACGAGGAGAGTGTCAAAAGCGCAGAATATTTATCTACAAAGATGAATGCGTCGGATGAAAGACCAAGGAGGGAAGTTACCTACAGTGATGGTGAAAATAATAACGACTTGCTTGGACAGGACAACAGTGTTGGCGAAAAAATATTTTTTACCATTGATGGGGATACATCGGATGCACAGAGTGTTCAGTTGAGCGGTCGGGAGGACAACGATATGAGTAGAACAAAGGGGCTATCTGCTTGTGGTAATTTTGAACTAGAAAAAACCCACCAGTACAACCTCCTATCCAAAGGGACTACGTCAATTGTGACAAATAACAAACAGCCGGGATGGCATGATGTAATTGATTTGTTTGCAGAAGAAGGTGCATGTGAAGAGGGGGGAGATGTCTCTGGTGGGGCTATTTCCTCATTTGAGGGTAAAGCGGAGGGGAAGCGGAAGTGGAGCGTCTCCCATGATAGTGCAGGAGGGGAGTTAGGAAGTGAACACAAAAAGAGAAGAAGAAAGGAAAGTGGGGATATGCAGATGGACGAAGAGGAGGTAGCAATAATACAGGCTTGGGAGGAGGAAGGAACAAAAAAGGATGGAAAAAACGGAAATGTTTACATGAGAAAGGATTCAAAGGGAAAGCGTAAACCAGGCCAGAGAGCAAAGCGACAGGCAAACCTCGATGTACATCCTGATGGGGATACGCACAGCGCAGCGGGCGAACAAGTTACCTACGGGCCATACGAAATTGTCATGGTAATCGACAACAGGGATATATCAGGGACGAGTCAGGAGCTGAATGAAAAAATGAAAAAAATATTCCAACGCAATGGAGTCAAATATGTGACTAGAAATCTTCCCCTGGGTGATATCATCTGGTTGTGCAGGAGAAGGGTGTATAATGGTGGTAAGTCGTCGAAGAGGAAAAGGGGTAAAAAAGGTGGAAAAAAGGAGAATGCAGGGAAGACACCACAGAACCCCTATAATCACGAATGGAGTGGCGAGGCCAGCCAAATGTGCAACACAAGAATGAGCAACGCTCACTCGAGTGGAAGTTACGAGGACGGGAAGGAGGACCAGCGTGATGGGGAAGAAGACGGTGAACAGGAAGCAAATGCGGAGTACGAAGAACACGTATTAAAATGGATAGTAGAGCGAAAAACATTGAATGATCTAAGTGCAAGTATAATCGATGGAAGATATGATGAGCAAAAATATCGTCTCATGAGGTCTAAAGAATCCTCACATATAATATACCTTATAGAAAACAGCAACAATTCATTTAAAAATTACACGCACTCGAATAGAATTTCTTATGAAACGCTTCTAAACGCTCAACATAGTATTCAGCTCATTACTGGTTTCTCTATATTGACTAGCCAAAGTTTAAGTCATACTTTTTTTTTATTGGCTGAAATGCACACCCAGATTGTAGAAAATGTCCGTCTTGTTTGTAACACCAGAGAAGGTGAACCCATAATACACAGTGATAAATTGGAGGTGTACTTACAAGAGAATTCATGTGAATGGGATCAGTGGAACAGTCATTCAAAAAAATCGAAGAATAATTTGGTGAAGGAAGTGTTTGGGAAGCAATTGAGATTGATTAACATGTGTGGGCCTGATGCCACGGAGTTGATTTTGTCTCTGTGGCCTACCCCGATGAAACTGAATGAAGCCCTCAATAGGTATACCCACGATGGCATCTTGGCGGAGAAGATCAAGCGGATTTACCTAAAGGGTCACGACCTTCTGACCAAACGGCGCGTCAAGTCTCCCGTCGATGCGAATGTACGGCTGCGAAATGTTTTCCCACAAAAGAGAGCGGCGGGTGGGGTTGGTGCGGTCACGGCTCCCCACTGTTATCCTCATGTGCGCGTGAACGCGTGCAAACATTTTGTGCGTACACAGCGTGGCAACTGCAGTGGGCCCGTTAACACTTATATATATATATATATACATACATATCGTATGCATTTTGTTCCACCTGCACCCCTTCACAGCTCATTGCACAGCTGCGGCAGCTTTATGCCCCGGACTCGATTTAGACCACCAAGAGGCGGAAGATGTGGCGAAGACGAGATAACCCCTACGGTGGGTTGCCCCCCTTGATATAATCCTTCCCATGATTGTCTGGAGCACCTTTTGTACCTCGTTCCTGCGTTACCTTTTCGTGCGGACATTCGTTAATTTGTGAATGGCTCTATCACTCTGTAAAATTATAAATCTGCCATTGTCAATTTTTCAATTTGCCATTTTGTCATTTTTTTTTTTTTTTTTTTTTTTTTTTTTTCCGTGGCTGCGCCGCGGACTGTCTTATCCAAAAATAAGAAGCGAATTTGAAAAAAAAAAAAAAACAAGAGTGGGCGTTTACATCACGGGTGTAGAACAAATAGAGTTTACCACTCGCATGACTTAGGATTATATGCGTCGCATTGATCAGTTATTACCACTTTATATATGCGCTATGGTACATGGTAGCCGCGTATAATGTTCAGAGCACTTGGCACATTAATGCGTTGTGTCCATTGGTCGCGTGACAATATGTAGACAGTCGTTTGCGGGTAAGCATATGCTCCTCTTTGTACCGTAACGCTTCCAATCGTTTACAATATAAGAAGCAGGCTAGGTGAGACTGGTGTATGCGTTTTATTTATTTATATTTTTTTTTAATTTCTTTTTTGTTTACCGTTAAGACGGTGGCATGGTGGTTTTTAGCTACTCACACACGAGATAACGAAAAAAAAAAAAATGAGGGGTATTATTGGAAAGGATCTGAAACAGATAATGCAAAAAAAGGTGGAGAAAAAACAAACATCACACGTGTGTGGAAGCGCTACGGGGGGTAGCATTTATGTTAGCCTATCACGCAGCGCGTAGCACACGGTATACGGGTAAGGTGAGGGGAGGCCGCGCAACGACAACAAACACAACAAAAAAAACAGCGTCACACGGGTAGATATATGTGCGGCCCCTCCATACCCCCTCTCCCCCTGTACAAATTTTACATACACATATGCTGACTGTTCAGGACGAAAAAAGGGACTTGAGTACATCATAGTTCATTTTGGTTGACATGCTTTTGTCTGATTTTTCTAAAGCCATTATGACCGAATCTCCTGCTGTTTGTTCTTCCAACGGGTGGTCATTTTCCATTATTTTTTTTTTTTTACTCTTATCTTCAACCACACGGTGAGGATGATATGAAGACCTTTTCTTCTTCTTCTCTTTTTTAAGCTGCTTGTAGTACTGTGGAAAATAACTCCTCATCATGTCATCCCATATGAGCATTTTCCGTCTTCTTTCCTTTTCAGACAAAATAATATTTTCAATTTCGCTATCATAGAACTCGGACAGCGATTCATTGAATTGTTCAATGGATGCATCTGAGGGGATGTCTGCAACGTTGGGTGTTTGACTTTCTACAGTGTTGGAATTATTTTCGAAGAAATAATTAAAATCGGAGAGGATACTACTAACATGGTTTAAATCATCTTTGTGCATATCATTTGTTTTATTGCTCCTCTTGTTCTCTTCTGCATTATTAGCATATTGTAAGATATTGAAATCATCTACTTCGTTCAGGAGGTGGCTTAGTTCCGAGTTTAGGGTTTCTTTAAGTGCGCTATTGTATGCCGTTACGTGTTCATTGTTTAGGTTGTCCATTCCCTCCTCCATCTCGTCCCCATTAAGCAGCGCTCCCTTTTTGCAGAGCGAATCGTTCTTATGATCAGCAGAGATAAGCCCTGATGCGTTGTGCTTTTCAATACTTACGGGGGAGGAACTCCCATTGTGACATGTACCATTGGATTGTGTCAACTCCTTGGCGCTACCCATAGGGGTGGTTAGGCAGGAGTCCAAATCGGACAAATGATTTATACTCGCGATGGATACACTTGATTTGGTTGGAGGATTGTCAGACAGACCATTCTCCTTTTTAACATGTCTTCCGTTCTCACTGTGAGAAAATGGAAGTTTCTCCTTTTCACTTCCCTCAGCGGAATCGCTGCCATCACATTGTGAATTATTCATATGGAAGGAAGAAACGTCGACCTTCAGGATGCTAGATTGCTTCTCTACATCTATCGTGTTGATAATTTTTTTGGCTAGTTGATCTAAATCATTTCCTTCTGGATTCTCATTGCATATTTCTTCCACATTTATAGTTGCACTGTTCGTTAGGGTTTCTCCATCATCCCCTGTTTGGCTTCCTCCATGTGTACTTCCACTTGGAAGGCAGCTACTTATGGTGCTATTCAACTCGCTCGAGCGGCCAATTTTACTTGCGCTACCTCCATTTACACTGCACTCCGTGGTGGTGACGTCCTCCATCCCATTACAGGAGGAGCGGCTATCCAGGAGATTCAAATTTTTGTATGACAACACATTATTCGCATCGTACTCATTTGTTATATTCATGGTGTTACACAAGGATAAGGTGTCTTCATTACCATTGGGGGAGAAGGTTTCATTAGATAGCAGTTGGCCTGTTGAATCTTTTGCCGATTTTGCACTTCCAGCAGTGCTGAAAATGTCCTCGCTATCACAAAGAGATACTGTTTGATTATTCCTTAGCATGTCCTGTTTGAGTTTTTTTTTATTTGAGGCAATGACACAAGGAGGTAGTGAATTGGATGGAAGATCATTCAAGCGAATTCGGTCAAAATCGGAAACCTTCATTTTAGCTGTACTCGTATTTTTAAATTCAGAAAGTCTCTTAATGATAGTAGGGTTGGATATCCTCACAATATTAGCAATAGTATTTGAATGAACAAAAATGCCATGCATTCTGGTAGAAATTAGCAAGGCGGCACCACATAACCCTGTAGGTCTTCTTCCAGTACAAATCCAGTCCCTTGTCATGGCTTGAATAAGCTTTATCCCTGTGTACGTAACTTTATATATGGCATTTTTAAGATTCAATTTGTGAGCAAAACGCTCTAAATATAAAGAAGGGTCTATGTTAGGTACACTTATATGAAGCAATCTCAACAGCTTCAGAAATGTTTTTCCTAAGGGCTTTACAGGGGTCTGTAGGATATCACTAAAGTCGATTAGCATCACGGGTGACTTTTCCCTTCTACAAATTGTATAAAGACATGAGGCGGCAACGTAAGAGTTGTTTCTTCCCATTGTGAAATTTCTTTGTAGAGCCATCAGGTAGATTCGCTGAGCTGCTTCCACGTGCTGTGTTGACAGGTGCAAATGTTCTGCTATTTTTTGTATATTTATGTATCCCTTTTGTAAGGACAACTCTCTGCTTTCGCGTACACCCCAGGAGAGGATGAAGGATTTGTTCCCACTAGCGGGGACGAATTGTCCGACCTACATGTGCGGGGAAAGGAAACATGTGGCACGATGCATGGTAACATTGGGCGTATTTTAACGCGGCCAGCGCAAGTGGCAAGAGCAGCGGGGGGGACCGCTAAAAGTGCGGCCACTTCTTACCATCGAAATAGCTCCATTGTTATTCTCCACGAACTCAAGGGATTCCACAATTTTGTTCTCCTCCAGGACGGAACCGCATCTGCGGCAGATCACCTCCCCTTGTCCCTCGTTAGTCTCAACATCCGTGCTGTGGCAATTCTTGCATACGACTTGATTCACTAAGGGTCAGAAGTGGGGGGGGGAAAAAATGTACATGACGGTTGGGGGTTCGTTCAATTGTCGAATGGGAGCGGCTTCTCCCCGTAGATATATGCCACGCGTGAAAAATATACATGCATATGCAAGCGTGCTTGTAAAGTACATATAAATGCGCATGGGAATGGCTTTGTCCCCCTGTTTGGCTTACTTTCTGTGGCGGGGATTCATGAGGGTTATACACGGGTTGCTCGCAAAAGGGGGGCGGGCGATGGACGTCGCGTCGAGGAGCCCAGATAAGGCAGGGCAGACTCTACGCTGAATCCACCTTCATCTATCGGACAGCTTCGCACCAGGGTGTTATATTTCTTCCCTATTGGGGGCTGCCTCTAAACAAATTGGACGTGCTTCTGCGTCTGTAGCACCTGTCAGTTTGAATGCGCGATTTGTTATTTTCTTGCGCCGTTTATTCGGTTGAACCTCTAACTCGGCTTCACCCTTTTCAGCGTCCTCCTCGCCCTGATTGACTCACTATTCAAACATGTTAAAAGTTCGCCACTCCATTCAGTTGTCCTTTACAAATCAGTAAGCGTTAAAAGAAAAAAAAAAAAAAAAAAAAAGAAAGAAAAGGAGCTTCAGGCGATATTTTTAAATAATCAAAATTTTGGTACACGAAAAAAAAAAAAAAGTTGGCCGCTTTTTTTTTTTTTTTTTAATGAGTGCTCAAGTATACTACAAAGAAATGACAGAATGTACCAAAACGGAAGTGATGCATGTGGAAAAAAAAAATTTATATATATGTTTATTTTTATTGTATACCATTCTGGTACATGCAGCACGTACATTTTTTTTGCCTACCGGTACAAACTTGGTCAATGCGCGGTAAGCGGAAAAGCAGTGCGCCTTGACTGTCACTACTACTTCTGGGGATGCTTTATGAAGGGTCATAAAACTGATTAAGCGATGAATCGACGAATCGATGAACAATGAAACACTTATGAAGCTCATGAAGAATTTTTTTTTTTCCGTTTGCAGCACTGCGGATATACACGTTGCGCGAGAAAATAAGTGCGTCGAGCAGATAATATGTTTTTTCTTATTACTTTTACGAGTGTTGGGCACTGAATCGATTCCCTGGTGCTTCTGCGGATAAGCAGTTGGCCCATGCCTGCGCAACCGTATGGCGAAAAGTATACTGCACTATATACTATATACGTTTATGACACTGCGTCCGTCATTGCGTCACGGTTCGCATCCTGTGGTTTTAATGCCCCGCGCATTGGCTTCCCGTCTCACAACTATATTATGCTATGTCATTGCTGCAATTATCCTATTTACTGGGCTTCCATCCATGCGCCACGTATAAAACAGTTGTAGGTTATATGTAGGGGTATATATGTTCTTGTATATTTTTTTTTGTGCAAGTAAATTAAGAGCGTGCCGCGTTTATTACGATGACCGTTACTACTGTGCTTCATGCCCGGCCCGCAAAGGTAGTAATATAAAATATACCTGTCATCGCAAGTGACCCATTTTTATATTTAACGTCCAACCTGGGGGGGGGAACCATCACAAAAAAAAAAGAACATGTTATATTTTATAACGTTGAAAAAAAGAAATTGTTCTACATGGGAAACAAAACTTGTACTGTCATGTTTACAAGAAAGAAAAATCATTTTTTTTAAATTTCCCCTTTCTTTTTTGTT